GGTAAGTATAGTTAGGATTATTCCCACTTTACAGATGAAGAAAATTGAATTTCAAAAAATTTAAACAATCTGCCCAATATCAGAGACACAGCTAGTCTTCAGATCTACCCTTTTCAAAATTCAAATTTATGTTCTTCTGATGACTTCAAATGATATCTGAAAAAACATAGTATTTCATCAAAACCCCTCTGTTTTTGTAGTCATTGAAATTTTTCTCTTCCTAATTACAGAGTTGTATAATGTGCCTGTGTATATAAGCAGTTGGAATTCAGAAAGGTGTATGGTTTGTTGGTATTTAGAATGGAGTGGAATATATTATAGAAAGAAGATGCTGGTACCCTCTTGGCACACACCTGACATACCTAATATTTAAAATTATTCTGGATTTCTTGTTCTGTTGGGTAAAAGTGATCAGTCACTTAAAAAATTGATCTCACTGTATTTAGCAGATATGAAAATAATAAAGTGTTCTCTGGTGATTACAGTAGCATTATAAAATTAAAATTTAGTGTTCTTATTTTACAGAAAAAATGGAGGATCCGAAAGGTTAAAAAACTTGATCACGGAAAATATAAGTTAGATTTGAGCCCAAATATGCTTCCCCACATTGTGTGAGTTTTTATTATACAGAATTTCTTGGAATTGGTCATTGATTATGGTTTAGCATATACAGTATTTTTAATTATATGCCATAAGATGTGACACTTTATCAGGTTAACAATTATTAGTAGCAATTAAATGCAGATGTTTTTCAAAACCAAACAATAAAATATATCCCTAAAACAATTTCACTATTAGGAAGATGGCTTTACACTTAGTCTCTTGAATCTGGAATCCCCTTTGACAATTGTCTCAGGAGATTATTTATAAGGGCTGTTTTTTTTTTTTTTAAAAAAAGCAGGAATTATTAGTCCACAGTTGTCAAAGAAAAATTTTCTCAGCTCAACAACTTACCTAACTTAAAAGACTTTGTTGTGAATTAATTTTGACTCTCTCTGCTCTTGAGTGCTTTGTTATTTTGAGAACATGATCTGCTACCTAGCGTGATACATGAATCTGCCATGAGAACACTTTGACAGGTACCTGGTTTCTGTGAAATTAGTCCCTGAACCTATCAAACAAGAAACCATACCTCAACTGGTTTCTGATCAACTGTGATAAGATTCACATATAATTTCTTCTGCCCTTTCATGTTCAAGAATCTGTTTTGCTGTTATCTCCAGGGTTTTAAACCACTCTTTCCTTGGATTTGCATTCCGAAAACAGATTTTCCTGGTGTGGCTCCAGGGACTCCTCTTTTGAAAAGTTGTTTTCCTAGACAATCTTCACTGATTTAGACCTAACTCGTATCTCTTTCCATTTCATGGACCACCCTAGGACTTGGGGAGCTGGACTAGACAGGTGTAAGGGTTCTAAAGCCATCTTTATCCAGCACTGTAGTTATTTAAGTAGAGGCTGGGATGACCCCTCAATGGACCATTGTGAGTGGAGCTCAATTTTTTTATGAGGTTGAGAATGACTTTGTCTGTCCATGCTAATTCTCTTATCTAAGTCTTTCATTCCAGAGTTGAAGATAAGTTCAAGACATTTTCATGATGACATATCAGGAAATTTCATATTCCTTATAGTTATTTAGATGGTTTCAAGTCCTCATTTAGACTGTCTTGGGCATCTGCTATCACAGATATTATTACAGCACTTTAATATTAAAATGTCTGGTCAAACCAGGTTTGACCCATGCTGCTCACAGTGATCCCATTCTCTGGAGGAATCCAGAAAATAAATCATCAGTGTAAAACTTATTTTTCTTCTTATGAATGCAGGCATATTTGAACATGGTCAGTGGGTTTGTGCTATATAGGAGTATTTACAAACAAATTGAACTGGAGTAAATTCATTTAAAAATAATTTCAAATATTGATAGTTATTTATTTTAGTAGATAATTGTAATAGGCCTCTCAGTTGGTGGCAAGGGAAACTTGCCATGACGATAATTAAAGATTGTAAAACAATAATTTAAATGTAAGTATCCTGGCCTGGAAGTTAGTGTCCTGGTCGCCTATTTTGCCTTGGCAAATGGCATTCTGATTCTTTGTCTTATATTTACTTACTATAAATTGTTGATATTAAAACTTATTCTTTTGCATTCCACAGGATATTATGAAATTAAACTTAAATGACTGAAATAAATGTATTCTGCCATCTCTGAATATAACTGAAGACTGGAAAGATTTACATGGTTATTATGTTAATCTAATTCCAGAACTGATGCAAGATACAACCAATTTGAAAATGTATTCTAAACTTTACCTGCTGTGAAATGCCAATATTATAATAGGATTTGTAATTATCACTTAATGTACATCTGAAAAGAAATATTTAAGCATTCTAATTTGCATGAATGATTGATTAAAAAATACAATATTATAATAAACATTTTTTCAGTTACGTAGTTACCACCATAACTGACTAACTTATACAATATTTCTTATTCAGACTCAATATTAAGCTCATTTGTTATCAAATACCTAAATTCATTAATGATCAACTTATTTTGTTTTCTGTTATCATGAAGTTTTGTGTTCATGTAGACTTAATGAGGAGTTCAAAATTAAAGAGGAATCCTCTAAGAGTTCTCTTCTAAAGTTTAGTTAAGTTTCATCAAATAACTGGGTTGTTGGCAAAATCTCCTAATGGTGGTGGAATACCCCTGAGGTCCAATTAGCCACAGCTAACAAACTTTACTGAATTGGTCTACAAACAGGAAATGTGGTAGCAATTTTCAGGTTCAAGAGAAAGCCCCCATCCAAAGGTACTACTTATAAATCAGCAAAATGCTCACTGTAGCTGAGTTAGTTGCCATTTTTCATTTTACAACTTTCTTTCTTTCTTGGTGAACTATCAGCTTCCTGGGACCCTGACCATGGAGCTATGACAGGCAAGTTCACAGGTAAGATTTATTTTTCCCTCAGGAGATCACATAATCATAGACTCTCAGATTTAAATGGATTTACAAGTTATAGAATCATCCCTCATCCTCCCCAATCTGAGATTTCAATCCCTCTTCAGCAGGCAAGACATTAAGAATGACTCAACTACAATTATGCCAACTTAGAAGTAAAAATACTTGGGGTCTTTTTTTTCTTATTGATATATATTTAAATTAGTTAGAGGAAAAATAAAATTAGTTAAAATTAAATTAGAATAACTGTATAATTCAAATTTGCATCCAAAATTTTCCCAATTTATAGTACATCAGATTTTCCTATTATACTGCACAATTTTTTTAAAAGACCCCAGTTAAACACTCCATATGAATCAAGGAGATGCACTGTATTTTAATTATCCATTTTTCCACTGTTAAGCATTCCATGTAGTTTGCAAATTTTCCATAGCTCTTAAAAATTTAGTTAAACATATTTGTGAATAATGTTCTTTCCTTTTAAAAAGTATTTTCCTTTAGAGTTTAATCCTAGAAAGTGTATTATAGAATCAAAGAGAAAAAAGAGTGTTTTTATTTCTTCATAATCATTTCTAAATAAATTTCATTAATTATGTCTAATTATTAATTAATATACACTATACTATTTTCTGATCTACTGAGGGCATCTTCCTGGGAATAAGAGAATTCAGTGAAGCTACTGTACTTTGTTTCCACATATGTGTAAATTTTTCAATTTGGATAATTAAAAAATAAAGCTCTTTATCCATTTGTCTTTGAAAGGAAAAGACATATTTTGGTAGAATGTGTTTTATTATGTTTATGTTTTTCCTTTGGGAAATTCATGTCCCCAAATTTCCTCATTCTATTAATAATGCAGTATCATCCTGCAACCAGGAATGATGGATGATGGATGCTGTGGGAAGATGGGAGAAGAAGACATGAGAATGCCTGCAGCAGAAACAAAGGGGTGGGAAGGTCATTCACATCATGGAAGGATGAGTTCCGCTGTTTGCTAATGAAATTTCAGGGAAGGGATTACTAAAGACACTTCACAGGGACACTTTTTATAACTTTATGTTTACACACATATATTAATATACACAGTCAGTGTGCAATAAACATGTGTTGAATGAGTGAAATTGTAATAGGTACTTATAGTGATAGACTTTGCATATGTTTGTGTTGTGTGTATATATGTCCATGTGTATAGTACATTACTTATCTCTCTGTCTTATCTTGAAACTGATTTCTTTTTGTTCTTATAATTAATTTTTACTTTTAGAACTTTGAAAATGAGGATTTCCTTACTTGACAGATCCTCCATGTACTGAACACTTACACATTAGTTTTTTTTTAATCCAAGTCTACTGTGCTGTAAATTTACTGCATGTGACTCTGTTAAATTGTATGTGGAACAGAATTTTGAAGAATAAAAATGTATTAATTAACAAACACTACAATTATGTTGATACTAAAATGACCTGATAACATACTCATTCCTAGAGGCAATTAATATTTTCGTATTACCCCATAAAATGTGCCAGAAAGATTAACATGGAATACAACTTAATATCAAATTTATTTCTGTTTTGGATAAAGTAGAGAATAATGATAAACAGAGCAGGAGGGTGAGAACACTTGAATTCCTGGTACATTTATGGTCTGGGGAGGCAGGTGTATTCTCCCCCATGGAGAATGGCAATTCACCAAGCACTTACTCAGCACCTAACAGGTTCCAGGCAGTGCAGACATTATGCCAGGCACTGTGGTAGGTGCAGTGAGGGAACACACCTGAACAGCTTATGGGTCCTGGTAGGTACCAGCGAGAGCATGTTGCCAGCGACTTACATACATTTCCCTAAACTGCTTGCTTATTAGAGATATGTATTCATAGTGTCTTTCTTTTCACATTTAGAGCTGAGGGTTCAGATTTGAATACTCATGGAAGAAGAAAGATCTCTTGTCTGTGTGCAGCATCTCTTAGCTTACAAGATCCATCTGAGAATTACACTCTGTAACCTCACAGATGCAAAAGAGTGCTTGAAGTCATGGGACACAGAGCTGATGCACCAGAGTCACATGGAGTTGGAACAAGAAAGGTAATCCAGATCTTGCATACGTAGCTCAGAATTTTCTCAGTAAATTACCCATCAAATGTTGCTCTGTAGATGTTTTACAGATGACAGGTACTAGGTGTCTGAAGAGATGAAAACATCGTGGAGGAAGTAAGAGAGAACTGAAACAAGCACTTAGGCAGGACTGTCAAGGACACACTACAAAGGTACAGTGACTGCTCTGTTTCTGTACCAAGATATTCAGACCATGATCCTTTCATGATTAATGGGAATCATTCCTTATTCTCGTAGATAATTCAGGCCCCAGGAAGGTGTCACTTGCTGAATGAATCTCCTCACGCCTCCCAACAATGTGACTGAATTTGTTCTCTTGGGACTCACGCAGAATCCACACTTGCAGAAAATACTCTTCATTGTGTTTTTGTTCATCTTCCTATTTACTGTGTTGGCCAATTTGCTCATGGTCATCACCATCTCCCTCAGCCCTGCACTTTCAGCTCCCATGTACTTCTTTCTTACTTACTTGTCCTTCATAGATGCCATATATTCATCTGTCACCACTCCTAAAGTGATCATTGACCTGCTGTATGAGAGGGGAACCATCTCCTGGGGTGGCTGCATGACTCAGATCTTTGTTGAACACCTCCTGGGAGGATCAGAGATCATCATCCTGGTTGTCATGGCCTATGATCGCTATGTGGCCATCTGCAAGCCTCTGCACTACATGACCATCATGCGACAGGGGCTCTGCCAGCTCCTGGTGGTGGTGGCCTGGCTTGGGGGGATCCTACATGCCACCGTGCAGATTCTATTCATGGTCAACTTGCCCTTCTGTGGTCCCAATGTCATAGATCACTTCATGTGTGATTTCTTCTCATTGTTGAAGCTTGCCTGTAGCGACACCTACAGGCTTGGAGTGGTGGTAGCAGTGAACAGTGGGGGC